TTTTTTTTTTTTTTTTTTTTTTTTTGGTACCAGGAATTGAACTCTGGACCTTGTGCTTGCGAGGCAGGTGGCGACACCACTAAGTTAAATCCCTGGCCCCAAACTGAGTCTTATTAAGACACTGAGTCTGTACTCAAACTTGAGACCCTTCTGCCTCAGCCTCTGCCTCTCAGATAGACTGGGATTACAGAATGTGCCACTATACCTTCCCAGATTTTTAGTTAATTAATTAATTAATTTTTCCTTCCTAGATTTTTAAAGTGACCATTCTGGAGCTGGGCATACACTTGTAATCCCAGCACTAGGGAGGCTGATGCAGGAAAAAATCTAGTGAGTCCAAAGCCAACCTGAACTACATGAGAGAACTCGTTTAAAAAGAAAGTAAGAAGGGCTGGGGATTTAGCTCAGTGGCACCAAGTCTGCCTGCCTTGCAAGCACAAGATCATGAGTTTGATCCCTGATAACAAAAAAAAAAAAGAAAGAAAAGAGAGAAGTGGCCATTCTTACCTACCTTCCAGTCCCCACCCCCTAGAAAACAAAAGGAATTGTTTACCCAGGGCCTTTCCCCATGAGCAGGTGCAAACCCCTGCTATGGTTTAGTAGGTAACATTCAGTGGGTGCCTTGTATCTGTTCAGCATTGTGCCAACGGCTTCACAAATACTGAAATAAAATAAAATTAATTTTTAAAAAATTAATCAATTAAAAATGTATCGAGATTTGACGGGTGAGGGGTCTGAGGCTCAGAGAGGTGAAGTGACCTGCTCGTGGCCACACAGCATGGGGGTGGTGGAGCTGGGTTGGGTCTATGTGGCCCTCGAGTTTGTGCTTCCTGCTCCGCTGGCCACAGAGATAGGCGGGGAAGCTGGGGCACGGCATGGGGTCGGACCTCCTGGGTCTAAAGTGAAGCCAGGATGGCGGCCCAGAAGCGGCGGAGCGATCCCCCGGCGTGGGTCGGTGAGGCGGTGGGGAGGCCGAGGTGTGCTCACGCGGCCCTCCCTGCAGTGTTCCCACAGAAGCCCATCACCCTTACGGACGAGTGGAAGGCCCGGCAGCTCCAGCGCATCCTGGACATGAAGGGCAACCCGGTGCAGGGCCTGGCCTCGCGCTGGGACTACGAGAGGAAGGAGTGGAAGAAGTGAGGCCCTTGCTCCTGCTGCCGCCCCTGCTCCTGTGCCACCACCAGCCTGGGGCCTCCGGGCTCCCTCCTCGCCCTCCCTCCCCTCTGCTTCAATAAAGCTGGCTGTGCCCTTCTGCCTTTAGCCTCCACTCTGGACCATCCCTGACATCTAAATTTAGGATTAAAGGAGGTGATGGGCTGGGGATTTAGCTCAGTGGTTCTGCCGCCTGCCTCGCAAGCACAAGGACTCAAGTTCAATCACCGTTTGCTCCGGCCCAGTGCACACCTAGTCAGGGAGGCTTCCAGGGGGAATTGGGACCTCAGACAAGTTTAGGAAAGACAGGGAAATCCAGGCCTGTAATCCTAGCACCCTGGGAGGCTGAGGCAGGAGAATTGCAAGTTTGAGCCCAGCCTAGCTAACTTAGCTACTTAAGAGAGACCTTATATCAAAGAATAAAAAAAGGTAGGTCTGGGGATGCAGTTCATTGCAAAGACCCTGGGTTCAATTCCCAGTATAGTACTCCAGACCAACCACACACACACACACACACACACACACACACACACACACACAGAGCACAGCACAAAAGAAACAAAAAGGGAGGCTGGGATTTAGTTCAATGGTTCTGCCTCCTGGCTTGCAAGACCAAGGACTTGAGTTTGATCCCTGGTACCAAAAAAGAAAAGGAAAAAGAAACAAGGGAAGGCATTCCAGTGGAGAGAGTAGCAAAGCAAACACCCTCATTTAGTCAATCAGTTAACATATATTTACTGAGCACCTACTGTGTACCAGGTACTAATCCTTGGGCTGCAGTGGTGAATAAGACAAAGCCCTGGACCCCATGGAGGAGATCCCTCTATGGAAGGAGACAGCAAAGGGAATGATAGTGTCACGAGGTGACGCACGCTAGGAAGAAACAAAGGACGCAGGGACAGTTAGAAGGAGCCTGGGGTGGCAGATAAAGGCTTCTTGGAAGAGGCGGCACTTCCAAATAAGGCTAAACGAGTTGAGGGAACAAGACTCGCATCAAATACAGAAGGGGACCGGGGCTGAGCTCAGCGGTAACACTTGACAAGGTGGACCAGGCCCCGGTCACACCACCAGCACAGAAAAGAGAAAGCCAGTAAAAGACCCCAAGGAAAGATTTTGTTTTGTTTTCGTGTTGCTGGGGATTGAAGCCAGGGCCTTTGCCCTGAACCACATCCTCGGCCCCTTTATTTTGAATTTTGAGAGAGGGTCTTGATAAGTTGCCAAATTTCCTAGGCTGAGCTCAAACTCGCACGGTCCTGGTTCAGCCTCCCGGAGTTCTCTCAAGTGAACTCGAAAGGGTACCTTAGGGGAGTCCCCAAAAAGGGTGACTGGAGAGGGGCGCCTTTGCGGGTCCAGCCTCACAGGGGAAGCTGTGGCAGCCCACTTGCCTGCGCCCACGCTGGCCACAGCCCCTGGGCACCCGGACGCCGCCCTCCGCGGGTCGTGCTGAGTTGGCGGTGGTTGGAAGCCGGGTGAAAGCGGTGGCGTCTGCCTCGCAGTTTCTGCTAGATGCGCACACTGGGCACTTGGCCGGGACTTGAATCTGACATGCAAAGGATGGGTTAAATTCCTCATTTTAACTTTGGGAATTTCTCAGACCCAGCCCAAAGACAGGTTCAGCCCCTGCACACACATCTGCACGCACGCGCACACACACACACACACACACACACACACACACCACCACCACCACCACCACCACCACCACCACCACGAAAACCACGAGTCGCCCTTGCTTCAGCCGCGCTCCTGGCGCCCTCTACTGGCGAGTGTCAGTATCAGCATCTCATGCAGGGGAGATGGCTCGGGAGAGTCGGGGTGGTAACTAACTGCGCAGCATCTTTGAGGAAGCCTTGGCGAGGACCATGAGGAGGCCGCAGCATGCCGTGCCTACTAGAGGAATCCTTTGGATGGCATCGCCCCATCCTTAGCAAGCCCCACTGGGCACGGCCTTTGGATGGAGTAGCCCCATGAGACCAAGGTTGCATGAGCCTGCCGCTGAAAGTGGGGTCGCTGCAGGTGTCACAGGACCACCCCTTGAGGACAAATCTAGCACGTGCCCAAGGACACCCCAGATACCAATGGGAGGGTTTAGCAGAGCACTCGCAACAATATCCATTCAATCAACAAATATTCCTATGCACCCACTATGAACCAGCTCTGGGGACAGAAAGCACGAGACCTCATTTCGGTCTCAAAGATTCCAGAAAGCCTGAAATGGGAAAAGAGACATAAATCAGACAGTCACTTTAAGGGTGGCAACACAAGCGAGTGTAAGAAGAGGAGGTGTGTGGCACTTGGACTGACCAATTGGGGAACCAGCGTAGGAGAGGTTCACTGAGAAAGTATCCACGTCCTGAAATATGGAAGATGATGGGTAAGTCAGGTGAAACAGCATTCTAAGTAGAGAGAAGAATTTTTTTCATTGAGTTTATTGGTACTTTTTAGGTGTACAGTACACTCACGTTCATCATTGGGATCTTGTGCCTTTGCATGACAGGTCTTGGTTCTCATTTTTTCCCCTTACCCCTGCCCTCCCTTCATCCCCTCCACCCTTCCCTATTTACAAAGACTTTGTTTCCATTTTTTCTTTTCTCATATTTTTCCTTGTCCCTTATTTCCTTTCCCCTACCCTTCCCACTTCCCTGCTCCTTTATCCCCTTTCTTCCTATTTCACCTTGTCAGTTACTCCATCTGGATCCTACTCACACTTTTAGTTTCTCACACCAGGGAAACTATTTGGTATTTACACATGTGTGTCCTATTTATTTCACTTAAGAGTCTGGCCTCAATATGCAGGTAGGGAGAAAATTGTGTGCAGAGACCCTGTGGTAGTGAGGACCATGACACCAAAGAGGAAATATAGGAAGCCAGTGGGGACACTTCAGAGGAAATGAAAGAGAAGGAAGAAAAGGACAAGGGTAGGTGAGGAGGGGGAGCTCACACAGAGCCCCGGAGCTTGGCTGTCTCTGCGGAAGAGAGGTTTGGAGGAAAGCAGCAAAAGGTGGACTGGGAAGGTGGGAACCTTGGGAACAAGATATGGGAAGCCTTGAACATTGATTTAATTTATCTGAGAAGGCAACTTTCTTGGTCCCAGGATCCATCTTTATATGGTGTGAGAAAACCTTTTTTCTTCTGAGTTTGGCTAAGTTTCCAAGGATGGCCTTGAACTCATGATCCTCCAGCCTCAGCCTCCATGTGCTGGGGTTACAGACCTGCCCTACCATGTCTAAGATCAATTTATTAATCATTGCCTTGAGTTGAGAGATGCACAGATTCAGGGATTGGCAGAGAGGGGCTCTCTACATTCCAGAACTCCTGGCCTGTTGGGTGGACACAGAGTCAGAAGCTAATGGTGTAGGGACTTTAGAAGTGTTCACGTTAACTAGATACCTTGCTGTTCACTTGTAAGCCCAGCTGAGAGGCTGAGGCAGGAGGATTGCAAGTTGGAGACCAGCCTGGGCAACTTATTTTATTTTCAAAATAAAAAAGGGGGCTGGGGATGTATCTCAGTGGTAGAGCACCTGTGGGTTCAAGCCGAGGTTGGGGGAAGGAGGAGAGAGGGAGAGAAAGAGAAAAGAGAGAGAAAGAAACTTTGAGTGTTATATTTGAATACTGTTGTTTTAACCTTGATGCACTGGTAGCAATATGAACATAACTGAACATGTTAAATGTGCAGTACAACTTGTGGGGGTACTGTGGATTGAACCCAGGACCTCTCATATGCCAGGCAAACAGTCTACCACTGAGCTACATCACTAGCCCAACACAACTTATTTAGATTAACAAATTACTAAGGAATCATGATGTAGGCAACAAAAATTGTCAAAGCAAGCCAGGGATTTAGTGCAGTGGTTCCACTGCCTGCCTTGCAAACGCAAGGTCCTGAGTTCAATTCCCAGTACCCTTCCCCAATTGTCAAACTAACCCAGGGAAAGTTCAAGTGTTGTGTGGGCCAAGTCCTCTTACAACGATGATATGTGTAGCTCATCAGTAGAGCACTTGCCTATCACAGGTAAGATTCTGGGTTCCACCCTCCACACTGCAAAAAATAAAATCTGTGTAACATACAATGCCCGAGCTCAGTGACTTACAACTTGAAGCATTTACTTCTGTCTTCCATGGGTCTGGGTCAGGCTTAGCTCCAGTCTGTCTCCACTGGATTAGTTAGCTAGGGCACCATAACAGAAACCCCCAGAAATTTATTTTCTCACCATCCTGGATCCTGGAAGTCCAATAGCAAGAGTTGTCAGCCTTGGCTTCTTCTAAGGCCTCTCTCCTTGGCTTAGCAGATGGTTGACTTGTTGCTGTGTGTTCACGTGGTCCTTCCTGTGTGTGAGCATTCCTGGTCTCTTTTTGAACCCGTTTCCTTTTTTGCTGACATTGGAGTCCTACTCAATGGCCTCGTTTGAATGCAGTCACCTCTTTTTAAATTTTTTAATTTATTTTTGTGCATATGCTGGGGATTGAACCCAAGGCCTTCCCACTGAGCTACACTCTCAGCCCTTTTTCTTTTCTTTTTTTTATACCTGGGATCGAGCTTGGGACCTTGTGCTTGTGAGGCATGCGATGGAACCACTGAGCTAAAACCCCAGCCTTCTCAGCCCTTTTTAAAAAAATTGAGATAAGGTTTCACTAAATTGTTAAGTCTCCCAGGCTGGGCTTGAGCTGGTGGATCCTCCTGTCTCAGCCTCCTAGAGTGCTGGGACTACAGATACGTGCCACTATACCTGGCATATCCCCTCTTTGAAAGGTCCTATCTCCAAATATACTCACACTCCGAAGGTAGTACTGCACACCGGAATTTAGGAGGGTTACAGTCAGCCAAAAGTTGGGCTCAGGTTGTTATCCTGAAGTCCCCAGCCAGCCTGCCTTCTTCCACTCCTCACCTTTGTGATGCTTGTTTGAGTTTGGCTCAGCGGGAGAAATAGGGACAAGTACACCTCCTCCGTCTTCCCAGGTGTGGGAGGTCAGTGGTTCGCCCTTTGCTCACATCTTTCAATCTACTCCCCTCCCCTCTCGCTCTTCCATTTCACTTGCTGAAGAAACGGGGGGAGTAGGGTCATTTGTTCTGAGGCGATCCCCCAGCCTGCATTCTGGGGGCTTCCTTC